GGGAGGGGGCGGCCAGGGGCTTCGCAGGTGGGTTGAGGAGCTGAAGACTTGGGTGCAGGATTGGCTGCTCTGCTGGGTGCTTTAACCCTCTGGGGGCTGGGTGATGTTGATTAATACACGCTGAGGTGCACTTCTGAGCTTCCCCCCTCCCCCGTCACTGCTTGGAAGAGGCTGTCCTGTTGTGAGAAATCCCTGGAAGAAGAAGAAGAAGAAGAAGCAGCTTTTCATTTCTCCTCTAGTTCCTTTTTTCTAGATTTCTTTTATTTTTGCAGCACCACTGTGCAACTATGCATTGTATTTCTCAACCTTTTATGCTAGGTAGATGCCTGTGACTTTTTAACTTTGGGGGGGGGGATTGCAAACGGAGGAACTTTTTACATGGATCTTTTTAATCTCAGTTGATTGGGGGGTGTTTGGTTCTAGGGTCATACAAGCTCTATCCCAAAGCAAAATCCAAATGTTAATATTATTAGCCTGATGCAGATACCAAAGATAATTTCTTTCCTGCAGAACCTTAGACTTGTGTATTAAGTACGATTACCCAGCACTTGCATTAGTCTAACCTCAGTAATTCCAAAGCTTAGATGTATATTTTGGTATATTTCTGGGATATTAAAAAATTGTCGTTTAAATTCTTGTTTGTTTCAGTGTAATGCTCTTAAAGTCATAGCATGGAGATAACTGAACTTGTCCTATTCTTAGTAGTTTGAAATAATAGTATTTTTGTATGTTTTGGGTGTGTCTATGTATGTATTAACATAACAGTTTTCACTGCCTAGGTGTTCATAAATAAAAAAAAAAAAGCAACTAAGGGTTTTTAAACTGTACATAATATTCCATGAGGAATTTCCACCAGACCGCCAATTTGGATCGCATTTTCACTGACGGCCGCTCCCAACTGGGATTCTTTCTTTCTTTTTAAAGAGACAGCATGTTCTTTTTTTTTCCCCGTTGACCTGAGGTTCTTTCTCAGCATAAAGGGGTTTTCATTGGTTTTACGGGATGGGCCAAAGAGGAAGTAGCTTTAAATTTTGTTTTAAAAAAATATTTAACACGTTAGTTTGAAAGCTAACCCTTGGTACGAAGAATCGGGAGTTGAAAAGCAAGCCCTTTCTTCTAAATCCGGCAGTAGTTTTCAACGAGGTGGTGATTTGTGAATGTCTGTAGCGTCTGGGCAGCCCCTTTTCGCTTCGTTTCTAAATAAGAGAAATTTCCGCTCTTAATGGTTTCACTGCTCCGTGCAGCTGCCTGCTTACACTGGCTGGGAGGTTTTTTCCTCTTGCCCTTCCTCATATACTGCATTTGTACGCTTCAGGTCAGCAGAACACTTGAACTCGAGGGCCGTATGGGAGTACCCGTACCCAAATGCAACCCAAGCTTTTCTTGAGACTGAAATGTGAGAGTCCCACACATTTCAAAACCTTGCTGATCACACTAGGGGTGAGGAGGAAGGCGAAATGCTGTCTCTTTAAAGATGTCCTTTATTATTATTATTATTATTATAATTATTATTATTATTATTATTATTTTCCCAGTGGTTGCCTACAGATAGCTGTGGGCATTGAGAGATTGTGTAGATTACAGTAAATCAGAATGAAAAGGTAGATTTTGTGTAGATGCATTTGTCTGCTGTAATTTTTTATATATATTAAACTTACTGTAATTGTACAGTTCATTTCTGTTGTAAACATCATTAAACCATTTTCCAAGTGTTTTAACATGTATGCACTTGTTCGTAGTTTTTTAAATGTGTCAGGGGAAGGCTAATTCCCCTTCCCCCTGGGGCATCGGACTGGGCCAGGAGATTGTTCTTTCACGCTCTGTCTTGTCAAAATGGAGGAGAGCCCAGGGCTTTCTGGCACCCCCCTTGAAGCTTTTGTTCTGCTTGTGCCTTATCAACAACTCCTCTCCTAAAAGAAAAAACGGCCGCAGTTGCTTCCTGAAGGCAAAGAGAAGACTCGGCTCACACCTGCGGTGAGTGTCCTCGAAACCAGCGTTGGATGCTTTTTGAATCAAGATCCGTTTATGTAGAAGGAGCATAAAGGTGGTCTTTTTCCCTAAGAATTTCTTCCCCGTTGTTTAGCGGCTGGTACCCCCCCCACACTTGTTTATCACAAAACCCTTTGACATTCTTTTGTTTGATTAAAAAAAAAAAAAAAAAAAGAATATTTTCAGTACTCTCTGTTCTCCCATCAAGAGCAAGAGTGCTTTGCGGTAGCAACTTTACTGTAGTTTTCAGCTCAGCTGTTTGAGGTACCACTCCGTTCTCTCAGCTTTTTCTTGGCATTGCCGAAGAACAGTAAGGGATCTAGAAAATTCTTTGCAAGAAACATTCATGGCCGTGCTGGGATGTCTCAGTTTACTTTTTTTTGCACTAATTTACTGTCTTTGAAATATTCTTCAAAAGCTACAAGCACCTACTGCTGCCACAGTCCTACTGCTTAAGCAGCTAGGCACAGCCTTGCAGTTTACGTTGGCGGCATGTCAGCAAGTTTTTTCTGCGGTTGACCTGGTCCCTTAAGAAAGGGACAGGTAGCCTCACCTGGGCAGTGCCCCCAGAGGCCGCTCTTGTTCCCACAGTCTTGCTTTAGCTCCGCTCCCTTTGTTGGGAGTGGTGGAATGAACTGGTCGGCTCCCGACCCAGGTTAAAATACCCTTCATTTTGCTGGGCTGCTTTTGTCCTTGCCGAGTTGCTTACAGGCTTCATCGCACAGCCTTGTAAGTCACTGGCACCACTGAGGATGCAGCAGGAGCCGAGTGTCCTGTTTATACTTGGGCTTACAGCATTTTTCCAACATCCCATCCCACCTCCCAGGCTGTGTTAGGAAGCTCCTGTCGGAACACCATCCTCCTCAGCTTGCCGAGGAGGTTGCGCTGCTGGGTGTAAATTGGTCCAGCCGGCCTGACTGCCTCGGCTAATGAGCTTGTACCATTCCTGCAGCTGTTCACCACGCACACACAGGTCTTTGACGCTAACTTTATTAATTCATCAAAAACGCATTACATCATTACATTACTGAATTAGTATCTCTCCAGAATGATACCGGCATCATCTTTTAAAGGTAACCTGATGATAGACTGGTTTGGAAACCGCACTTACGTTGGCTTTTGTACAGTTTCTGTTGCCCAGAAGTGATAGTTTTGGTCTGTTTCTGACATTAGAATTACCATACCAACTCTTGGAAGGGGAGCCTCTTCTGCAGCGGTAGTTGTAGACGTTGCTAATGTGGGGGGCGGAAGTTTCAGCCAAATGGGATTCTCCAGGGTGAGTTTTCCTGGCTTTTGCGCCCTTTATCAGAGTCCAGTCTCCTTGTTTCCGCCGTAACAGGGGTATCTTCTGCCTTCGGAGAAGTCTCTTTACGCAGGCTCCCTGGCTCTCGTTTAGCACCAGGTGCTGGATGAGCGGCAATGCCACTGCTTGATCTTTTGTTGGAGCTCAGTGCTCGTCTTCTTTGTACTGAAAAGCTGGCATTTAGCCTCTGTCCTTCACTACTGTAATATCACATCGCTTTTTACAATTAAAAAAAGTCGTCCCCCACTGAAGCAGTTCTTAAGAGGTAAATTTAAAGCAAAAAGTTTAGCTGGCCTATGTCAAATAGTCTAAAGATAAATACTACAGGAGATAACTACAGCCCTATCTTTACAAGTAAGTTCTTTCTTTAAATGTAATGAAACCATAATTACATGTCTCAGTACCCCTGGAAGGCAAGTAAGAGCTACCAAGACAGCTGTGTTAGTAGGTGTGGTCTGGTCCCACACCATCTTCTCACAAAAATGGGCCTGATGATTGATAACCACTATTACTGGAAACAACTTTACAGATATGTACATTTTAATAGCTAAAGCTTGCAGTTACATGATTCAAGAGGAAAGGGAGAAGGGACTGACCAAGTCCAGGCGTATTCCCGCTGTGCACCAACCAAAGTAGGCTGTTGCACTGAGAAAATACACAGTGCTTGTTTTGGATGAAAAAGGCTCTCCCTCCTCTCCTCCCCAAAGCAGGTGGGCATCTCTCACCCTTGCCCATCCCCTCCATGACTCCCACTTAGCGGGGGGGCAAAGGCTGCATTTGGAGAGCATCGTAAGTGTCCTTGGTCGCTGTACTGAGTCCCTGAAAAAGAGAAAGACAGGTGAGGTACCAGTGCGAGTGCTCAGTTCTCCCGAGCAGGAGAGGGGCTCCCTACTGGCAGGGGCTCAGTAGCAGAATTCTAAGGGTTTGGGTTTTTTTTCCCCCTACAGAGTTTTTTTACTCAGGAGTGTTTCCTTAGTCTTTGTACAGTGTCAGTAGCTGTCACTTACCTGAAGGCAAGATACATCCTGAATCACTGTTAGAAACGTATGACTACAGTAACTCATCCTAACTGGTTATGCAGATCTTTACAGTACATTTTGTTTGCATACTATTGACTAGTAAGAGCTAACTGATGCTAGGGTGAACTTTTGTCTGCTAACCAAACGAATAGACAGCAAATCATGAACTTTATTTTCTGGACTTCTCTGTAATTTGGAAGGGAAGTCAGATGCGACGCCGGGTAAGTTGGCAGCGGGGCTTCAGGTGGCTGTGAACCCCAGGAAGCATCCCCTCACATCCCTTCCTGCGACGCAGAAGTCCTCCTCCTGCCAGCCTGCTCTGGTGGGGGCAAGTCAGTCAGTCAGCTGTAACACGCGAGTTACAGATCCCCGCTGCAGCCGTGGAACAGACTACTCCAAGAGCAGGGAGTAGAAAATGTGGCCGAGTCGCTGGTCAGCCCAGGAGGCTGCCAGAGCAGAGGTAACGGGGGCTTCCAAGAGTGAGGCCTTAGTAAGACACAGGGTGCCTGCTTGTAAACCTTCTAGCTCCCCTTCACTCTGCTATGAATATTTAGTGGCACACTGAGTACACTGATAAGATGATAGTGCTTCTTATCAGCTACCTGTGACTAGCAGTAGAGCAGGTTTTGAAGAAAGGTACCATTAGCTACAAATAAGCCCCCTTACAGGAAAACCCCCTGGCATGTGCTACATCAGAAGAACTTTTTAATATGTATTTTATTTTTGTCGTTTGGAGATGTTGGTGACAATGTACGGGCTTCTACAGAAAGTAAAATGCATTTTGGAACAGTTATGCATGGCGGCCCCAAATAAGGCCTTATCGATGGACTCCTTGCAACGCTGAAACCCCCCCGTGCAGCAAGGGACTGGAGGTGCTGACCAGTTTGGGCTCTGTACGCTATAGTGAGATGGGCTGAACCACTGATGCTTTGAGTTACAACAGCTGTTTGGCAACCTGAAGGTTTCCATTTAAGCAATGAACAATTCAGAGACAGAACTGTACGCGTCCTCTGCCGCCGTCAAAAGGTGGGCCTCCAAGATGTAGGACTGTGGAAACGGTTCCTACCAGAGCAGCTAAACAAGTGTTCCTGCCAGTTGTATTTGGAACACACAGCCGCTTTCTCAAAGTACCAGCAGTGTGGTCTTCGCCCTGAATCTGAGTAGCTATCCTCAGAAAGGTGCTTTGAAAGCTCTGCTTCATCACGCATCGCTAGCAGTGCGGCGAGATGCATGACTGGAGGCTACAATTAAGCCACGAAGATAGACGAGGGGAGCAGGTGCTGGATGTGTTGCCTACCTGGTAGACACCTTCGTTCCCTTTGCCTCGCCGCCTCTGCTGCTTTGAGAAAGAAAAAGAAGCATAGATTAATGGGTGCTTTTCCCATTATGCAAAAGGAAAAAAACCCTTGACTTCCCCCCATCCTGTACTGAGGGTCAGCAGCTGCGCTCGGCCTGGACACCCTCTGCACAGGAGGGAGAGCACCTGCTAAAGTCTGGACCAGCCCAGGCACGCTGCAAGGGCTGTGGAAGGAGAAAATAGCGAGGATTGGAAATAAAAAGGAAATTATTTTGGTTTGCTGACATATTTTCCTGTCATACTGTTATAACGCTGCTATTTCTTTGATTTACTGTACCTATAGAGATTTGGCAACCTTCCTATAGACACCGACTGTTTTATGCGCTGAAGGCACACCTGGAAGAAATGGGGCTGTATTTCTTAAGTTGCTGCATGTCAGCTGGTGTCCGAGGGACTCTGCCCTCTATTGGACAGACACGGGCAAGTAAGTAAGTTCTCCAGCACACGTTTGGTTAGCTGGAGTTGTCTAGAAGTTCAAAGGAACTGCAGGTAAGGCTGTCTGAGGACAGAGTCCTCAGGATTCAGTAGAATAGGTACTGGGACTGTCGTGGTACAAGTAGAGCATACAAACAAGGTCACTCAGACCAGCCAGGTACAAAGGAAAACCCTCTGCTTGAACCCGCTTGCTGCTGCATTCCCAGGGGTACGGGGAGCTGCCAGACAAAGCAGCCAAGTTGTGCACGAGAGAGTGATTTCCAGGTAAATACTAGGGACAGCAGAGCTTACAGCCCCCTGGACAGGCACGTCAAGCCCATGGCTGGTCACAACTGCCCCGCGGCAGCAGAGCGCTGACTGTATCACAAACATTTCACGAACACGCGGCAAAGAGTAGCACCTGCCACAACGAAAATTGCAGCGGCCTGTTAAATGATCATATATCTAGAACGAGGCACGGTTTTTGTTGTGCATGCGTGTGTCCCCGGTAATAGAAACAGTCATAAAAACACAGTGAGACTTCACATACTCATAGCTTGTAAACTGAGCTTGAATGTTGCAGATGGGCACTAGAATAATAAAGAAGGGGAGGGGATTAAACGTCGGTGTTGCTTCAGCATTTCTCAGCACTAAACTTTGTTTTGAAATGCCCTTTTTTTTCACTTTTCAGAGGGAAATGAAAGATTCTATTTAAGACACTTTGCCATAAAATAGAACCTGCGGTCACAGCAATTTTTCGTTTTGCCATAAACAGCATCCCCAGATATTTTTTTTTTTTTTTTTCCCAACACAAGCTTCCCTCCCCCAGCAGTTTGCTGCTAGCTTTAGATATAACTGATCTGCTCCTTCTTAAAAAGTTGAGAGTGGAGGTGGGGGAAGGAGAATGTTTCCCTCATTACTTGTCTGAAGACAGGCACAAGGAGGAGCTTGCAAATGCTTACTTGTGCCTATAAAGCAGGCCGGCCTCCACAGCCCATAGAGGGGAAAGCATGAACCTCCAGCTCTGAATTGCTCTGGAGGAACACGCTCAACTAATGCAAGTTGCTGGGCCGCAGACGTTGCAGTGCTTGGAATTAGACATTTCCTTCAACTATTCCTCGCCCATCTCATACCCTCTGCCTCCTCAGCTGGGGCAGCCGTCAGAATTTTTCTGTCCAAAAGTTGAAATATTTCCCCTTGACGTTATTCAATCTGCCCAGGGACACTGCTGGTGTACGGGCTGTGTTTCCAATACTGATGGGACAAAGCTTACTGTCTGATCTCCACCTTGTTTTATGGCTACTGTAACACCATAGCTACACGTCTGTCTTACTGCTGCACCAACACACCGGTTACTACAGGAAATAATAGGTAACTGCTCTCAGCTGTGCCTGTAGGTGCTGTGGAACACGGGGACTTCTTGTGCAAGGCAGCTACGTGCAGCTGGGGCTACTGCTCTGTAAGGGAGCGGCGAGGAAGAATTTTCCATCCCAGGCTTTCACCAGGAAGGAAAGTAGGACTCACCTCTCCCTTCATTCCGATTTCACTGTATGCCTCGCCCATCTTCTCCTTCTGCAGTGACTGCAAGCAGAGAGAGGGAGAGAGTCAGCATGTTAGTAGAAATGCCAAGCCAGCCCCTGGGTGACTGCACTCCAAGCCTCTGCTTCTGGGGCTGCCTTGCCTTCAAAGCTTCAATATATTCCAGAGGGGAAGGGACAGTGGTGAGACTTGACCAATGTGCATTTAAGTCGATGCTATACACGATCAAATCTGCTTAGCACACCAATACCACCTCATCTCCAAACACTTAACTGAATAGAACTCTACCCTCAACCAAGTCGTTTATCTAAACTGGCACCGGAGACTACAATCAAAGCTCTCCAAAGAAAAGCTTTAAGCAGCATTTGTTCAGGAGACAAACCTGACCGTGCAGCTCAGGCCCAGACAAAAGGAAAGTCTAACACCGCAGGGTGAAGGTTAAGAAAGAGGAGCTCTTTCTTCCTCTATCCGGGGAAGCAGTTCCCAAATGCTTACGACCAGCTGTGATCAGGGCATCTGATTCAGTAATGATGAAGGCCAGTCTTGGAAACAACCTCATTTCTCAGCAAGCACTGAACACCCAGAAAGACCGGAATTAAGACATGAGCTTTAGCATTCATGTATCTACCCTTTGGAGCACAGACCGCCACATTTAGCCAGAGTTAAATCAATTAAATCAAGAGGCTCCTAAGCAGCCGCTCTTAGATGCACTGGCATTTGGCCTTTGTCAGAGAGCAGTCGGAGAGGCTGGAGAACAAGCACATAAAATACTGCAGCATCAGTCACAGGGGACGAAGGTTGGTTAGTCACTAGTGGCTAACATAAAGGGATCAGCAGGCATCTTGAGCCAAATTCTTTTCCCCACCTGTCAATGTTTTTCTCCTATCACGGAGAAGGGAGCAGAAATTTTCTAGCAAAAAAGGAGGGGTAGAAGGGAAGAGAAGTCTTTGAAAGCAGCTGTTAAGTTTGAACCAAAGCTGAAATTGGGTAGGGGGAAAAAGTCTCCTGCAAAATAGAAACTCCTATTTCCAGCCATCCCTCCCTCTCCTTTCCTCCCAGCTCTCTCTACTCACAGTGTAGATGGTGTCCTGAGGGTTCTTTCTTCTCTGCTGTAAAACAAAAGAAGAAAGTTGCCCACGTGTTGCGGTACCAGCATCCCCCACCCACCACCTTCTATGTGCCTGTGCCTTTGCTCTAAGGCACAGCTACGGCTCTATGGCTGTGCCGTACCCGTTGCAGCCCATCTTGCCTCCACCCATAAGGCTCTGTTAAGGCAACTTGTTCTCTGGAAAGTTAATTTAATTTTAATAATTGATAAAACTTAGCTCTTCTCTGCTCAATCCCTACAGCTGTCACCTGCAGGCAAGCCCTACACGCTGATGCAGAAGGTTTCCCCCCTCCCTCTTCCTTTGAAACTCTTGGGCTCTGCAGCAGAAACAGTTGTTTTGGCTGCCGCTTTACTTTGTTGGCACTTGTTTGGCGACATCACGTGCAGCGAGCTCTCGTGAAACACCCACTCCTGCCTTGCCTGCTCCACATCCGCCCCAAGGCTGGGTGTCTCTTCCTATTCTGGGTGGCTGCAAGCTCTCAGCAAAGTGACGGGGGGTGCGAGGGGCAAAGATCAAAGGGGAGGGGGAAGGTTTACTCTTGTCCCCGCCACGCTGCCAGCCGCGTGAGTTACTACACAGATTTTGCTGTTCCCTCTCCAGGAAGGCACTGGTGCTTAGCAAACGCGTGATGAATGTCTGCATGTCTAAACAGCGGTTAGACATGAGAAGGAAGGAACCAGATTAAAAGAAAAAAGGTGCATGTGTGGGAGGAAGTTACCTGGTGTCTCCCACCCAGCTCAGGGTCTGCACCTCGCTTTGCCCCCAGAACATCATATTCATCTCTGTGTCCACGAGACAGTTTCTGAAACGAGAAAGCAAGAAGCAGTGACGGACATTATGATCATGAGAAAATAGATCTTGACTTAACACAGGAAAAGAAAGGGAACCCAGTTTGGTGTCCAACTTTGTGAGTATTATAATAGAGCTAGAAATTATTTTACCCCTTAATGCAACTGCCAGCAAAAATTTCTATGATTAAGCCATGGAAATGACAACAAGTGGTTTGTGCAGCACAAAACTGCAAGCCACTGCATCAAGAACCTTTCTTAAGTAGAAATGAGCTGGAAATGAGAGCACGCAAGGGGGAGGGACTCTGACTTTCATGCTTTCTCTCCCACTGGTGGGTGAAGATCCACGGGCTTGGTTTTTCTTGCAGAACTGCTCGTCTAAATTTGCATCAAGTGGCTGTAGAAATTTTATGTGCAACACATTTCTTATCTGGGAAAGGTTACCTTGGAAGAGGGCAAAGGAGAGATTTCAGGTCAGAATAACATAGCCGACAGAGTGCTACTGAAAAGGTGACAGGCAACACTTCTTAAACTGAAAAAAACGCATTAGTCTTCATACATTACACAGTTAAACAATAGAACTCATCACAGGATGTGGCTATGGTCAAAAGTGTGAGAGAAAAGAAAAATTAAAATCAAAAGACAACTAGACACAGCAAAAATAGCTAGAGTTTAATGCTACTATGAGTGAGCAATTTAGCTAGGAAGGACAGACAGGATCTTGTCTCTGTCCTCTTTCACTACCTGAAGAGCCATCTGATGCTGGCTACAATCAGGGCACAGCGGACAAGGTATGCCTCTAGTACGATCTGGTACAACAGGTCTTACGCTGCCAGGCAACAGGAAAGCTCCCGGACGGAGACAGCCGGGCTGCGATGACTCAGGCTCCACACACACAGCGATACAAGAAGCTACAATCGCCCAAAGTCAGCAACGCAGCATTCCCGGGTGTTTGCCCTTTCTCCAGCCCACATCAAACAACACCGGCAATATGGGTGGCGGCGTGCCTGTGAGTCGCCCGAGGAACAGCAATTGGTGAGAGCTGCAAGCCAACTGCAGAGGGCTGGGCACGAAGTTGGGGTGCGCACATTATATATAACAGTCCGGTGGCTGCACACGCGCACAGACACAGAGCTCTCGCAGGCGGGTTACATGGTGCAGCACACCGAGCACTGCCTCTGAAATGGTCTCGGTTCCTGGTATACCTTCAGCTCAGTGCATCAAATCAGGAACCTACAGTCCACATAACTATCTGCATCCAGCCAGACAAGTGACAACAGAAGCTGCCCTTGCCAGGTTTTATTTTTCATCCTTACAGCTGCTGTGCTGCACATTTGGGTAGATTGCTTTCGTTAGCTGAGTCATCAAGTTTTTCTGAACCACAGGCAATTCACTATCAAGTGCCCAAAAAGGTCTGTCTGGGTAGCAGATTTGAAAACAAACAAACAAAAAAACCCAGTAGTTACTTACATTATACACATCATCCTGGCCCGGTGGCAGCTGTGGTTCAGAGGTCTGGCTAAGCTGGAAGAGAGACCATACCATGAGCAGAGAGATAGTGGCTCCGTTTAGTGCTTTCGTTCCCTCTCTCCTAGAAGTTACTCTCATCAGAAACAGGGCAACCCATAAGCAGCCAACCTGTGGCACCGATAAGGCTACAGGCAATACAAGCCACTGCTGCGCTAGCACTTTCATCCACACGCCAGGTTGCTGTCAGCAGCCAGGCCGTTTTACTTGCATGTAACACCAGTTCACTGCTACTCAAAGTACCTGTGGTTTGGTTTTTTTCCCCCTACTGCTTTTGCATTCCTATTCTGTGCATATCATAATCCTGTGCTATTGAAAGTAGCTCCATCAGGCTATAAAATCATACTTGCAGCCTGTGTTAAGAAAAACTGGGTATCTGGGGCTGCTAACAACCAAAAGCACCCCCTGAGACCCCAGCCCTCCAGCAAAAGTGCTGCCTGCAAAGTTCCTGGGCGTCCTCAGCTTCAGAGGGCACAGGGGATCCCCACGCCTGTCGGGAGCGGCACCTGGCTTGCGGAGCCGCGGTGCCACCATGGTAAGTTAGCATGAGGGGCAACTAATGAGTGGGTAAAGAATTTCCCTTCTGTAGCTACTCTTTGGCTACTCCTCACAATATTTATGAGCAGTTAATTGCTGAGTCAAACTTTCAGGAAAAAAGGACAGTTTTAGGCCAGTGAGAGCAGCTACTTTGTGTTCCAGTCCTTTCAAAAAACAGTGTCAAACTACGTTCTGTATTGCTTTAACCTTCTTGAGGTATTCTCATACGTTAAAATCTCTATTAAAAGCAACTTTCTAGATGGGTTTGTTTTTAGGCATAGGATAAACTTGACTTTGTTTTTTAAAATCGTATTTGTAGTAGGTACAAGTTACCTACCCCACCACTTGCCCCACGAAAGTGGCATTATCACCACTGAACCTTTGGTGGGGCCAGTAATTTACCAAGCATCTAATCCACGTTTCTTGCAATGGAGCCTAAATGTTCATGTGCATCGTCCATGTGGTCCATAAATAAAAAGCTCACAACAGAGACGAGGCTGTGCCCTTGGCAAAAGCCTCCACAAACAATTCCTTCGGCCAGGAGGTGAGGTTAGAGGTATGACACAGCTTGGAAGATTTATAAAAAAGTCCTAAGTTTGGGACAAGACAGAGGCCCCTTGGAAAATGCCCCACCAGCTTCTTGGTGCTTTATGGTGGCGTTTCAGCTGCAGCGCCTCTGCTGCTTTCGGCTGCGAGACTCCAGCGTAACCACAGGCATGGCTTTCCCCTTCCTCCTGCTGCCTTCCTTCATGCAATAGCTTATTTGCTGCAGCTAAACGCTATGCGTGTTACCAGCAAACAGCTAGGCACACCAGGAGGACAGCGAGTGCTCCCAGACCTAAAGGTGAGGGCCACTGCCTCTGACCAGGAGCCATTTCCAGCTCCAGCTCTGCCCCTGCAGGGAGCCCCAGCGGGAGAAGCCACACAGGTTTCTGTCCCCGCAGCAGCACGCTTAAGACACGCTCTGGGTGAGGGAGAAAGAGCAGCTGGCGAGTGCACCACGGCTGCGGCAGCTCCCTGTGCCAGGTGCATGCTCCTCCTTGGATGCTTTGCTAAGCCCTCTTTAACTACCGCGATCTCGCCCTGCACCGGGCGAGGTGCACAGCTCCTACCAGCTGTGGTACAGTGCACGCTCCATGTGCCCCAGAGGCTCATCCCTCTAGCAGCCTCAAAAAGATTTCCAATCCCAGAGCAGCACTTTCATCTGCAGTCAGGATTTACACTGGCAACAAAAAAGGTTTCTCCTTCATGGTTACCGAGTTCTGCTCATTTCCACCAAACATCACTCCCTCCCTCCCTCCCTCCCTCCGGGTTCAACACTGGCTTTGCGGTCCTGAGAAATGATCCCACCGAAGAGCCGGTAGGGCACCAGCAGTAGCACATCACCACCCTGTCAGGGCTCCTGCTGGTGATCTCAGCCACGACCTGGAGAGAAGCAAGCCGAGATCCCAAGTGCAGCAAGCCTTTGCTTCTGGGGGGAGGCTGGGCCAGATGTGCAGACAGCAGTCAAGACACCTTTTGGCCATTGCACCATTGCATTGGAGTGCCCTGTGCCGGGGAGAGGCAGACAGCTCCTCCCCTATGATTAGCAGAGCTCTCAGAGCATGTACATGTCTGGAAATGTACATGCCTTCATCACATTACGTTATTTTCTTCCATGGAAGTGCACTAAAGCCACTAAGTGTCTCCCTAGATGCTGAACAGCTGCTGGATGGTAACAACAGCCCATCGAGTTGTGTCTGTCCCGTCCCTGACTCCTCTCCTGTGGTTGTTGGGGTTATATCATTTGCATCATCGCACTCATACTATCAAAGATGTCTGACTTCTTGAGACGTTTTAATACATCCTTCGCAAGCTTGGCATTTATACTGAATTTTCTGTATATCCCCTCCTCTCTTTCCAATGACAAAGCAGCAGAAGAAACCACATCACTGTTGATCAGGCATTTCCCAGCTACGATATCCAGAACGTCTGACTGCATCCGTAACTGTAGCATCAAAATACTCTCAG